AAAAAAAAAAAAAAAAAAAAAAAAAAAAAAAAAAGAATAGAAGGAAATTCAGATAGAGAACTAAAGTATAATCGATAGCAAAGTAAATTAATAGAGGAAAAAAAAAAAATAAGTAAGGAAATTGGTACTGTAGTGATGGTGGTAATAATGTTGGACGAGGTCGGTCGCCATTTTAGAAGAAGTAAAAATTATTTTTACTTTTGTATAAAAAATTTTTTTCATCGACGTTCAATGATTTAAGTAAAGTATGTCGCTTTCTTATGTATTAACGAATCGGACCTTGTTCGTTACTTCCATTATATAAATAGACGTGCGTTATCAATATTTTAAAAATTTGCTTATTCGTTTACAAAAATAAAATAAAACGCAAGACAATTCATCCTATCTATGAATGAAAAATAAAATTTCCTATCTAATCGAGGCTAAAGACGTTCATCGAGACTTAACTAAAGTGAGAGAAAGAGGTTTCTGCGAGTGAATTAAATCAACGAATTCTTTTTCTTTTCTAAAATTTCCGTTGATAATTGCTCGCATTTGGCGAAACCTGAAATTTTGATTTATCTATCATGCTTTCATGTTTCGTCTTTATTTTTTCCCTTTTTCTTATTATATTTACTTTTTATTTTTATATATATATTTTTTTTATTATTTTCTTTTTTATTCTTTCAAACACAGGAAAAATATGGTGCCTTTAGCGATCGACGTACGCAATACGATACGTCTCGATGCATTACTACATCATATATATCGTTCCTCGATCTTCAAAAACGGTCAGTGATGTTGACTGCAAAATCTGACGTCATTCCTTTTGCTCTCTATCATTCATACACATCGCATATTCTTAATTAAAAGTATAATTATCATACTCTCTCTCGCGCACGCTCTTTCTCTCTAAATTCTCTCTTTCTCCCTTTTTCTCATTTTCAATTAGTCAGATATATTAACTAAAGTCAGAAAGTTATATATATATTCCCGTTCAGTGGAATCGATCTATGTTTTCTATTCTTCAAAAAATTTGAAGATAAAAAGCGATTATCGGCCATCTCTAGCTCTGATGGTCCGATGGTCATTTGTGATCGATGCTACTGTCGGCGCGACGGTTGTACGTCGACGATGCACATTATGGAGATCCTGTTCCAGCTTATCGAGGGTAGCCAGCCCGTGAACGCATGCGAAGCTCTGTGGATGAGAAAGACAGGGATGCTGGTGTTGAAGCACAAGGGTTGTCGTCGTCGTTGGTGGAGGAGGTGGCGGAGGTGGTGGAGGATGAGGAAGAGAAGTGAGCCACGTCACGCCTGGCTCCGCTCTGTGTCATTTGCCGTTTTGCTGTAGTGCTGCGTTAATTTGTGCCCACAGTTCTTTGGTACAGGATTGAGATCTAGAAATAAAATTATATTTTTAGTATCAGTTATTTATTTTATATAATTAGTATCACTATTATTGTAAAATTTCTTACATAGTGAACTAAAAGAATCAGTATTTACTCTTTTTTTGAAAATAAAAAAAAGAAAATTATTAATAAGATAGAATTATTTTTCAATAGACAATACCTTTTAATGGATTGAAGCCGCTCTTTGAATTGAACATGACCTTCTGGAGTAATATGAAACGCTGCTCTCGCTGCGCACACTACATTGACAAAGTCTTCGTATTCGCCTGATGTTAAATGATATAATTTTTGATGCATACATTGAATATACCTGCGAGTTATTGAAACCATAATTATTCTAATAGATTCGTTAAAAATAACTAAATAATTACAAATAAGAACTTGAAGAAACTAACATTTGTTGACACTTGTGAACAAGAGGTGCCAACAAAGCAGATCTCAAATGTTGAAGTACAAGAGCCCGGTTGTTTCTAGCCAGATAGAGTGCCGCCTCCAATGCGACATCATGAAGGACGAAAGGACTAACGATGCTATTCACTGTACAAATACAAAGTTGATGAAGATATTGAGTACCGAGACGTTTTGATACTCTCAATAACCATTTCACGTCTTCTCCATAGGGTGGATTTCGCGCGTATTTCGCTTGCGGTCTATCATCATGTACACGACGAGCCAAAGTTTCCAATGCTAACATTCCCACACGATACGCAGCAACCAAAGCTCGAAGTTGCTGTTGACTGAAGGCCTGAGTTTGTCTATGAATCTTTACATAAAAAATAAATATCAATTGTTATTAATTTTAAATAGTTATATAAAGGAAAATCAAAACTAATTTTATAATAGCATACCTGTGGTTGAGTTCTTACTGTAGATATTATAGGCTGTGCTTGACCAGGAATAGGTCCTGTCACTCCTGCTTGTACCTAATGAAAAATATGAACATATTGAACGTTTTACTATAAGAGATTAAAACTAATTAATCTGAAATACCTACATTAACTGGCATAGGCTGTTGCATGGTGAACAAATGATGAGTTCCTGGAGGCGGTGGAGGTTGCGGTGTATAATATTGCGGCAGCGATGGTGGTTGCGTGGGTTGTGTTGGATGATGAGGATGTTGCGGATGCTGTGGATGTTGTGGATGCTGTGGATGTTGCGGATGTTGTGGATGTTGCGGATGACCAGGATGAGGCGGGAATGCCGCATGATACATTTGCATATGTGGTGGTGCTGGTGGTAGAGTTACCCTATGTGACGGCATTGGCCCACCAAAAGTTGGAATTGAGTGATGCGGATGCACGAAACTATAAGGACCAACTGCATATGGCATACCAACTCCTGAAATCCAAAAAAAAAAAAAAAATCATAATTTAAAATTAATTAAATAGAATTAGAAAATTAAAATTTATTATTATTAAAGTCATATGTTAAACTGAAAAGTTTAAATATACCTAAAGGAGCCAGTGTGGTTATAGTTGGATGCGTCGGATATGGTTGAGGAGGTGGCTGTGTACTAGTCACAACAACTGCTTGAGCTGGTCCAGGCATCATTTGTCCATTGGACATATCTACTGGAGGACCAGGCTCTACCAGAAGCACTCCATTGAGATCCAATTGCAAAGGATCATGTGGCATATCATCTTGTTGTTCTCCACCAGGAGTATGCTAAATATATAAAATAAAAATTATCAATTAATCAGATTTTCTTTTATGAAATATCTTTCTTTTTATTTAAATGTACTTACTCTGAGATACAGCTCATACCAATATTTAGCCACTTGAAACAATACTTCTGGATAAACCCCTCCTCCTTTAGCTGTATTTTCTACTGTGATACAAGCTTTCTCCAACATGAGATCACTTTGTTCTTTACACTATAATAACAATTATAATAATTAAAATTAATCATTTTTTAAAAAACTTTCATTAAAAAAAACTTTACTGAAAACATAAATCTTGTTGCATGCTTACTTGTAAAATAGCTCTCTGGACTTCATTAGGATTGAGCGCGTGAGCATGAGGCAAACAAGACAATGCAAGTTCTGCAGCTGCTCGAACCATGTTAGGATCGCTTCCTCTAGATGATTTGTCTGCTATACCGACTGCCTCAGGTGGCGTCAAATGTCCCTCCCAACTTTCAATAAGAAATGAAATTGCTGGTGCTCCAATTTCCATTGCTTGTCCAGTGATCCAGGATACATGACTCGAGTAGGTTCGACTAAGCCAATTAGGAGTGACACAATTATGAAGCCCAAGAGCATATAGACCAAGTTGAAAGGCGCACATATGGAGAGCTCTATGAGGTCCATGGTGATTTTGACTTGTAGATGCTTGTGTAAATAGAGAGGTGGAACTATTGCCTCCAGCTTTTATGAGAACAGTCTTTGCTAATTCACACATAAAGTGTGCACTTGCTTCTGATGGTTGATTGGGAATTGATGGATATACTCTCTTGCTTTTGTATCTAAAATAGAATTTTTAAAAGTTCCAGATTGACATTTTTTTTATCTAATATTTCACTTCTTAATTTATTAAAACTTCATTTGTTATTATGCTAAAATACAAACCTTGTTTCTTTAGTTCTAGTAGGCACAGGTTGTTGAACTATTTGGGGTTGAACTGTTAGTGTATTCATACCAGTTTCTAATTCTGCACTAGTGCTACTGTGTGGTCTACTGCTAGTACCAACCACACTATCGCCATTTCCAGCATCTGTCCCAGCAAGAGGAGAAGAGCATTCTTCATCATGAAGATATCTTGTCATCTGAAATTTATTTGTTTTTCTGTTAATTTATTTCTCTAATTTCCAATTCCATTAGATATCCAATAATTGGATAATATCTAATTCCATTAGATATTAAAATTACTGAATTTGAAAAAGCAATTTTTTACCTCGCTCTTAGTAGGAGGATTAGAAGTGTAATAACTGCTGAGAATTGGTGATTTAATTAATTGATGAACATCTCGATCCAATAACTTGTCCATAATTCTTGCTACTTTCGTAGGTTCATCTTTATAATGCACGAGCAATGTAATAGCCAAATCTCCTCTAAAATAATTAAATCAAAACTTAATATAAAAATTATATTACTTATAACGTTTAATGAAAGAAATCGATTAATCAAATTTATAGACAAAATTGAATTTATATGAGTTATAATAACGCACCTTTGGCGTCTTGTTCCCTCACAAAGAAGAGGATGATCAGCTTCGCTCACGTTCGCCTTCAAGCCCAGAGCAGCCACGGCCGCATCAAACCCAAGGTTCTCGTCAACGTCTGAGGACAGGTGTTTTAGTCCTGCGAATCATTCCACAATCTTTTACCTTCCGTCTACACTATTTAATCATTAACTCTTTCTTGTCTGAAAGAAGATATCCTTCATCCTCGATTCGAATCACGCAAGCTCATATTTTTATTCGATCAAATCTCAGAGAAGAAATTTTATTTAAAAAAAAAAACAAAAAAAAAAAAGATACATACTTGACGTATTAAGGGCATCGAATATAAAACTAGCCAACATAATTGGAAGCAGCGCATGTCCTCTGGATCTCAGTACTCCATCTCTCAGTTGTTCCGCTCTTTGTCGAACCATGGCCAATTCCGCAAGACCAAGTGGAATTTTCTTCAGTAATCCTACTAGTTCACTCTCCTGATGAGCTAATTTTACCTAAAACATCCATCATACTGTAAAAAAAATCCTTTTATCCTATTGCTATATTAATTTACCTCCAATGGTTTTGTGTTAGCTGGCGGTCTAGCCATTTCCAATCCAAATAAGCCAACTCTAAACGCCAAGTTATAGTATTCCGGATTTTCTGCGAGAACGGTGCACAGGAAACAGCATTTAGCCAATGTGGCGGACGCAAGACACGTAAGCTGATGGGACGCCGGATTAACTTGTTGCTAAAACATTGTCGTTGTATTTGTTACGCAATGACCAGGACTGATCAATTGGAACAGGGCCTTACTGAATCGAACAAACGAAACCAAGTCTTTCCAATGAATCTACCTTCTTCTTTTTCCCCTTCACCGGTGCTGGTGGTTCATCGATCATGAGATTTGGGGGATTAGCCAGCAGTTCCTCGGCGAGTTGAACACCCAAAATACAAGCTTCCCTCGTGTGGCCATGGGCGTAGAGTCCTTCCGCCCTGGCGAACAGGATGTCCCATGGATCTTCCGTTTTCATCAGATTACCCAACACAGTACTCGCGTTCGGAGTGGACGTGGATTGTGATTCATTCTTGGAATCTTTGCTAGATGCGCCATTCGTATTCACCACAGCTTTAGGATCATAATAATAAACGTGATATTCGTCACCAGACGGACTGTCGCTACTCGATGACGAGCTCTCATCCTTGGAGGGCCTCCTGGAAGGATCCTTCTCCTGGTCAGATTCTTGTTCGCTCTTCGAACTGTTCGCTTTAGGCATCACTGTTCGCGATTTCTCTCGGTAATCGAGATTCGTCCTGCTACACTTCGCGTCGCAGGTAGCTTTATTATTACTACTATCACTACTATCACTATGAGTCTCGGACGAGGCGTTTGAGCGGTGCTTGTCCGAGTCTTGAGCGTTCTTCAGACTGACATTACTATTGGAGGACGATTCGCTACCACCACCCTCCTAGAATATTTCATTGATTTATAGTAGATACAGTAATTATTATTTTTAATTTACTTTTCATTCGAGAAAAAAATTCTTTCACGAAACAAACCTGCGAATCTGTGTCCCCGCAATTATTTAATTGAGCGCAAGATCGTCTAACGAGAACTACTTGAGGCTCGGAAATATCAGGCATATCGGTTTCATTCTCACAGAAACCTTCAGAACTGACACTACTTCGGTTCCCATCACCACCGCCGCTTCGTGAGCATAGACCTGAACATTCGCGCGGATTCAACCGTCTTCTGTCCATATAACTAAACTCTACCAGGCCTAAACTCAAAGGTCGTCGACCGTGATGATGCGAAACCGGTGGTTGACAATTCAACACGGCAGCACTCGAATTCACCTATAATCATTAAATCGATCAAATATTAATTAAAATACAAAAACTTTATTTATTTTTTTTAATTAGATATTTTCTGATTCCTTTTCTTTTTTG